GGGCCAACTCGACGGCAAACAACAACAACAACAACAACTATTTGAAGGAGAGCAAAGAACTCTAAGTCACCTCCTCCAGGAGGGGCAAGGCTACAGGCTAAGAAGGGTGCCCAGTGAGGAAAAAGAAAGATGGTGGAAGAAAGAATTGGAGTCACCAGATAAGTTATTTTCCAAATGACCTCACTTTTGGCCTTTACATTTAAAGCAAGTTGGAAACAAGAAAATGATTGCTTACCAATATTTCTGCAGAAGTCTGCAGTCTGGGATGAGGGTTGAATGAATCAGAGTTGATTCTACTAAACTGAAACACATCTAATGCTGTTGTCTTAATACAACTGGATCCAGAGTGGACATTGTGAATGGAGCTGATTCCTAAAGTGATGTGGGCTCATCAGAGCATAGTCTGACTCTTGAATTCTGCTGCTAGATTAAGATGAAATATGGACTAGTTATGAGTTCACAGGTCATTGCCACAGGGCAGCATGGGATGAAAATCATGGAAACAGTGATCTCTAATGAAGTCCATGTTGGGATATTGGACACCAGTCACCAGCTAATGTGGTAAGCGCAGATAGAAATTACCCAAGGAGATCAACTAGAACTAGAAGTGGAGGAGGGACAATTACAGGACACCTTAAATCATTCGATAACATCATAAAAAAATGATACAAATTCATCACCATGCACTGACCAAAATGGCTAAAATGAAAAAGTGAGATAGTGGAGTGACTGGAACTCATATATACTGCTGGCAAGAGTGTAAATTGGAACAACTACTTTGGAAAACTATCCAGTAGTGTCCACTACAGCTGAATGTATACCCTGTGGTCCAGCAAGTCCACTCCTAGCTACACAAGTACACAAAGGATCATAGCAGCACTCTTTGTAACAGACAACAACTGGAAATTGCCTTTAAACATAATTCAGGTAGCTACTGATAGGGTAAACAAATTGCAGTTATGTGTATATATATATATATATATATATATATATATATGGGAGCTCTGGTAGCATAGTGGCTAAAAGCACTTGACTGCTAACCAGAAGGCTGGCGGTTCAAACCCACCAGCCACTCCTCGGAAGGAAGGTTGGGCAATCCTACTTCCGTAGTGATACTGCCTCGGAAACCCAAGGAGGGGTCGCTATGAGTCGGGGCCGACTCGATGGCACATAACAACAACAACAACATATATATATATATATGGAACTCTTTTCAGCAAAGAGTATGGATGATCTCCCACTACACATAACAATATGGAAGAGTCTGGCAAACATGACATTGAATGAAACTAACCAGATACAAATGAGTATGTACTGTGTGGTTCCACATATAAAGTTCAAAAACAAGTAAAATTAATCTAGGGTGTTAGATGTCAGGATCGAGGTTACCCTTGAGGGAGAGGTGACTGGAATAAGACACATTGGGGCTACTGGATGCTGATAAGGTTCTGTTTCTTGCTGCAGTGGGTTAATTCAAAGTATATTGCATGATTTTCTATAAATTTCCATTAAGTTTGTTAAAAATCAAAAATGTATTTTAAAAAGCTTCAAATTCAAATTTTGGAAGGAGAGGAGAAAATAAAACTAGAGTAATACTAGCATATAGTCATGTTGCTATGTATTTGATGTCCTATTGGTTCTGTTCTCTCTACTGAAATACAGGAAGGAAGGGGAATCTTGTTGCAGGTTTCCTCTGTTTTCAGTCTTCCCTCATGGTTCACACACGACCTATAACGGTTGTTACAGCCACAAGGCTCTGAGGTTGCAGACAGTGGGTCACAGACAGTTGTGGGCTGGGGCCTGGTAAGCTCAGGCTTGGCAAGGTGGTTCCTAGGGAAATCTAGGGAACCACGTCTGCTTCTGTCCACGGCCCTGAGTTCAGGAATGTCCGTACCCAGTTTTGGTGTGTTTTCATTATACCGGAGCCCCCTCTTACACTGTGCTGTGTAAGACTGCCCTGCTCCAGTGAGGGGGGTCCCTGCATTAGGTCCAGCCCATAGGCAGTGGTGCTCTGGGCATGGTATTGAAGGTTGAGCTGGAGAAAGGAGATTGGCCCTTCACCCTCTCTGATAGCACCTTCTACAACAGTGCACCACCCCCAGCCCAGGTCAGGTGAGGATGGTGGTGTCTGGAGGCAGGACGTCTCTTGTCCCTGAGGTGTGGCTGGTTTCTCTGCCAGGAACCTGAGTGTGCTGACTTCCTTCCATATCATTTAGATAAGCAAATTCTGGAGCATAACTTCAAGGCCATTAGTCCCTTTCTCTGATGATACCACTGAATTCAGCAGGGTCAGGTTTCATGGTTGACAAGCACGGGCACAGTTTTCCAAAGCGGGCTTGCTAAGCAGACAGTCTTGGTGCTGAGCCAGCCTGGTCCTGCCTGCTGGTTTTCCGGTTCCATCCAGCCCATTACAGATTCCTGACCAGTGCACCTCAAGTACAGTCCCTACATGTTCATCAGTGGAGACTCGCGTGTTGCCATGATGCTGACCGGGTTTCAAGGAGAACTTGAAGACTAAAATGAACTAGGAAGAATGGCTGGTGATCTAGTTCTGAAAATCAACCTGTGAGAACCCTGTGGGTCATGACAGTCCACATGAAACCCATCCCGGGCAGCATGTTATTCTGTGGTGAATGGAGTCACTGTGAATCAACAGGACTGCCACTGTGGACATTTGTCAATATGGCGCATGTGCATCTATGAACTCGCAGGGCGTTAGGGAAGTTGTAAGTGCTTGGTGACTCCTGCTTCCATCACCACCATCACCTCCCCCATCACCATCATCACCACCACCACCATGATGTCGCTCTCTCTCTCTCCCCTAACAGACTGTGGGTATCTTTAATGTTGGACTTTGACTTACTCCCCCCTTGTATTCCTGGCACAACACAATGTGTGGCCATGGCAGAAAGTCACCAGGTGATGTCTGAAGGATGAATATAAAACAGGAGGACTGCCCTCTGCCCTCCTTGCCTCCCTGGACTGGCTGGGAGACACTGAGCTGTTCCTTACTGAAACGTGTAAGTGCCTTTCCAAGAAAATCTATTCTCAGGCTCCACCTCTCACCCCAGGGGCCCTAATCCCTCTCTTGCTCATGACCATTTTCTTAATTGCATTTACCATTCTGTGAAACTTTCTCTTTTAGTTACTCATTGGCATGTTTCTGTCTCTCCCTCCCACACTGCCCAGTGCACACACTAGAATGTTAACTCCATGAGGGCAGGTTCCTCGCCTGACTGATGTACAGAATATCTCAGAGCCCAGGACTTGCCTGACAGGGAGTGTAGCTTCAGAAGAACCAACCCCTTCCCCCTTCCCCCTCCCCCCATTACCTCTCGGATCCTCTTCTGCCATTCCTCCATGAACTCAGGAGAGCTGCTGTTCACCAGGCTGGCGTTGAATGTCCACTCGGGGCACTTCCAGGCAGGAAGTGATAGCATGGCCAGGGAAGGAGCCACAAAAGCAAAGGTCCCTCCCTGGAGAATAGGCAGCCTGGAGGGGACAGTGGGGTCACCACTATGTCCCCTGCTACCAAGTCCTAGCTCAGTTAGACACAAGACAGGGCTCCTGTGGTTCTCAGTGTGCACAGAACTACTAAGCTCTGAGTCAGACCTGTGAATGTTGAACAGGTAGGAGAGGTGGGCAGGGAAAGAGCCATGTAGACCCCTCACCAGTCCTGGAGGAGAGAGACAGGTGTGGGAACCAACTGGGAGACAGCACGGAGCTCAGCAAACACACTGGGTGGGTGCAGTCCTCTACCCAGGCCCAGGGTCAGACCATGGCTCACATACGGGCTGGTCCCCATCTCTTGTCCCCTGTGACTATTTCCCCACTGTGAAGAGGTCCAGGGCCCCAAATCCAGGCTGCAGATTCCTCTGGTCTTCAAACTTGACACAGTTCCAGACCACTTCTTCAGGCCCCTTCATGTCATTCTGAAGGAGCAGGTTTGTGGTCAGCCAGGGTGTTTCCCTGCCCAGGCCTCTGCGAAAGCTTCTAGCAGTGGCTTCTCAAACTGCCTTACCTTGATGGTAAACACAGCCTGAGAAGTCAGCCTCCCACAGCCCTCTCTGACCAGTGGCCACAGGCTTACCTAGCCCACCTGCTCTGGACTTTAGAATTTGGGGAGTAGGGGAGTGGACCACCAGAATCGTGTTCACATTTGCTACTGTGGACCACCCGGGCTAGGTATTTTTCCTAAACAATACTAGTGGGTGCTTTTGAACTCAGGGCTTCATAAGGTCAGAATAAAGGAGACTCCTCCAGAATGTCTGGGCACTTTTATAGACAGAATATAGAGTGGAAACTAGGAGAGCTGGAACTCGATGGGACTGCCTTGTTTTTCCAGGTCTCACAAGTTTTCTGCTTTTGTCAAGGTTCAGACCACTTTTCTATCACTTTCAACTAAGAGTCCCACCTCATGAACACGCCATGAGTTTTCCATCTCTGACAGATTTCCACCTTACACAGGGTCCAGCTTTCACAGGTTTTACTTGTAAAGTTTATGAAAGATGTTTTCATACCCTGACTGAACATGGAGTCAGCAACTCCTAGGCTTTCCCACAAACAAGTTAACATGGACTCTCAGCTAAATGTTAAACATAGAATGACGTTAAAGATGGAACTGCCCTGTGACCAAGCACTTTCACTCCGAGGTATACTCCCAAGGGAACTGCAAGCAGACTCAAACAGACCCTTACACACCAATGCTTACTGCTATGTTATTCACTATGACTAAACGGTGGGAAAAAAACAAGTGCCCACCAACCGATAAAGAATAAACTAAATGTGGTCTACATGTACCTACCCCAAACCAAGCCACTGCCATAGAGTCAATTCTGACTCATAGCAACCCCCACTGGGTTTCCAAGGCAGTAAATCTTTATGGAAGTATATTGCCCCATCTTCCTTCCGTGGAGCGGTTGGTGGGTTTGGACTGCCAACCTTCTGGTTAGCAGTTAAATACCTTAGGCACTGTGCCACCAGAGCTCCTTATACATAGACAGTGGAGTGTTATTTAGCCATAAAAAATTCTGATACCTACACTAGGACATGGGTGAACCTTGAAAACATAATGAGTGAAAGAAGCCAGACACCGAAGAACAAATAGTGAATTTCAAAAATAGGCAAATGGATGGAGACAGAAAGTAGAAAAGAGGTGACCAGGGGATGGGAGGATGGGAGGATGGGGAATGATTGCCTAATGGGCACAGAGTTCCTGTTTGAGATGATGAAATGTTCTGGGGATGGATAGTGGTGATGGTTACACAACATTGTGAATGTCCCTAATGCCACAGCACTGTACCCTTAAAAATGCGGGAAATGGCAAAAAAAAAAAAAAAAAAAAGGAGAGAGAGAGAGACAGAACTATTAATATTACTGCCTGAGATATCCAGAATGCTCCTTAGAAGTGAGGGTGGCAAGACTTTGTCACAAGTACCTGGGACATGTTATCAGGAAGGACGAGTCCCTGGAGAAGGATATCATGATTGGTAAAGTAAAGGGTCAGCAAAAAAGAGGAAGACCCACAAGCACATGAATTGACGCAGTAGCTGCAACAATGGGCCCCAGCATCGTAGTGATTGTGAGGATGAAGCAGGCCCCGGCAGCTTTCATTCTGCTGTACACGGGGTCGCTATGAGTTGGAACCAAGTCAGCTGCACCTAACAACAACAACACTGTGTTGGGAGGAATCCTGGGGTCCCTCAAGCAGCCCACTTACTTCTCTGTTGGACAAGGGGCACTTTGTGCGTCTTTTTACTGAACTCCTTGTGTCAAGCAGGCAGACTGTGAGAAAGCCCTGTAGGTGGTATTGTCAGTTGCATAGTCAAGTCCAGCTCATGGCGACTCCAAGTGATGCGGAAGGAGAGTTGTGCCCCATAGAGTCTCCTTGGCTGTGATCTGAACGGAAGCAGATCACCTGGACTTTTTCCTCCACCAGGGCCACCAGGTGGGTGTGAATTGCCGACCTTTGGGTAGCAGCCAACTGCAAACCTCTGGGCTACCTAGGGACCTCCTGCAGAAAACTGCTCAACTGAAACCCAGAGGAAGCAAACACTCCAGCTGCCCTCATTTGGACAGCCTATTTTCTTCCCCTCTCTGATGTCACTGATCACTTGCTCACTCCTCTTGGTCCCCACGGGGCTCCAGCCAGGGGGACCTCTCTGTGAGCAGGGATGTGGCAAGGTGGCTGCACAGCCCTGGTGGTGGGCATGGCGTTGCTGTAGAACCAGAGACACACGCTGAACTAGGGAAGGGCAGGGTTCAACCAACAGGAAGACGGTGGATGAAAAGGACCAAGGGACCAAGGTGGACTCAGGCAAACCTGTCTGCAAATCAGCATCAAACCTCTGGATTCACTTGGCAATAGGAGTCCCGCTCTATACTGGGGCTATTCCCAGAGAAACGTGTCACTTGGGAACATTCTGGAAAATCACCAGATAAAAATCATGAAAAACTGTGGAGCTGGAGTTAAAATCCAGAATTACATGTAGAGACAGAGAGCTGCCAGCAAATCAGCATTGACTCATGGCGACCTTACGTACAATGGAACAAAACGTGGCATGGTTCTGCACCATCCTCATGGTCAGTGGCCTGCTCAAGTCCTCTGCTGTGGTTGTCATGCCAGTCTGTATCACCAGGGTCCTCTTCACCCTTGCTGGTCTTCTACTTCCTCAAACATGATGTCTACCTTTAGAGAATGATCCCTCCTGACAGGGGCAGAATACCCAATAAGCAAGCACTTATTTTGTGCTCACTTGCTCATCTGTAGTGAACCAAACCAAAGCCAAACTCAGTACCATCGAGTCAGATCTGACTCACAGAGACCTCTCCTTGGCTTTCTGAGGTGGTATCTCTACAGAAGCAGACTGTTCAACCTTCCTTCCGAGGAGTGGCTGGTGGGTTTGAACCACCAGCCTTCTGGTTGGCAGTCAACAGGGATTGTAAATTTGAAAAGAGGGAGGCTTTGATTCTGTAGGAAGGGTCTGTGGGGCTGGGAAAGAGTCAGATGCTAGCCATGTCCAGAAGAAGAACCGTTGATGTGGTGAAAAAAACGTGAAATTGTTTACTACAGATTAGCAAGTAAGCACGAGTAAACCTGTGCTTTCCTTGCTTGTCGGGCAATCCAACAAAGCTTCCTAATGATGTGTCCCAAGCAAGCGAGTGGGATACTGTTCTGTTGTGACCCACAAGGTTGAAGTAGTACCAGGTCTTTCTTCCTAGTCTGTCTTAGTCTGACACCTCCGCTGCACCCAGTGCCCCATGGGTGACCCTGCTGGTGAATGAAATACTGAGGCATAGCTTCCAGCAACACGGCACCATGCCAGCCCACACAGCACGGCAGACTGAGAGACGGTGGTGGGGAACTAGGTATGGGTGGTATTTTGTTGCTCTATTGGTTGCCTTTTAAACTTAAGGTCTTTCTTTTCTAAACAATGAGTGGTGATGTGTCCCTTACATGAATTTCAGAAGGGAGCACCGCGATGGGGAAGCTTTTTGGCTTTTGAGGTCATAGCAGGTCGGAAGCCACCATGCTGTCAAGGAGCATAGCTGCCACACTGAGCATGGCACTCGCTTAGCAATTTGACTCAAAGCAGTAGATTGCCTCTTATCACTTTATTATTTAACGTGCTTTTAATTACTAAGACCTTCTGAAATCTTATTGCAACATCAGGCATTTTGGTTTCTAATCTAGAAAAGTACATCATTAAATATAGATAACTACTCCATGGTGATGGGTGGGGTTCCAGATAACTGGCAACCAGATCTACACGGCCTTTGATTCATAAGTTATCAGTTAGGTTTATAGCCTTGAATGCTTATTTCCATGGGTGGAACCAACTCCAGTTGATTTCTGCCTACCTAGTTCAGGGACATACACGATTTTCCTAATTGTGTCTCCCTCTTTCCGGGCAAAGTCAGCATTTTTGGTTCACGTGTGAGCTCCTTGGCCCAGTCTCCAGGGTCGTCTGTGTTTCTCACAGAACATGCTGTAGGGTTGGACCACAGGCTCTGCTGGCAGGTACTCCGATAACCCAGTGGGAAGATGGTGTCTACACATTTTCTTTGCCAACATCATAAGTTTCCACAATAGTAGAGCAGCAAGGGTCTCTTTGGTATCTTCCAGTTGAAACTGTCCATTTTACAGATGAGAAAATTAAGACTTCAGGAGGGTAACAGACTTGTCCAAGTTCTCACAGTACAAGACCAGGACTAGAGTTTAAGCCTCAATGCTTAAACACAATTACAATCAATACTGTCTCAGATTTAATCTGGAGGAAAGGGCTCTCCTCTCTCACAAGAGCTCTGTGTCTGTAACTGTCCACAGGAGTGAGGGGAAGGCCACTTGGGGATCTGACAGGGAGTCAAAGGGCTCTCCAACAATTCCACTGCCACCAGCCACTGCTACTGTGGATTCTTAGCTTACATTAGAGTGGGGAAGGATTTGGGGGGCCTGAGAGACTGACCAGAGTAAATCCTGCACCTACTTGATT